AGTCTGGAGCTCTGACTGGAGAGTCAAGGGATGGCATGTTCAGGACATGTCTGTTTCACTAGGACTCTTGGTGGATTCTGGCATGATGCCATTACAAAAATGTCCTCTGGGGTTGCTTCATAACTAGGTAACATTCTGGGACCTTGTGAGAGTGTGGAGATCCGTGTGAAACACAGTCTTCAGCCTTGGGTTGTTCAGTCTCTCAGGAATTTTGGTGGATGTTGGAAGGCAGCATGTGAAGTTTAACTGTTTACAGATAGCAAAATAAGGATTTTACATGGTCTGCACAGACTTGAAATACAGATCTGAAGAATAATTATAAAGACTATATTTATATTGAAAGAATTACTGATATAAAGAAAGGATCAAAGAGCCTTGCCATGATAAAACAAAGACCTCTTGTCGCTATATTGTATTTTACTCATTTTTTTTTGGCTCCTTTCGCTCCCTTACTAGAGTACATGTTTAAGCATAAATTAATAAATATGAGATAATGCATGCATTCAGCTGATGTGAGAGCTAATGTCTCTCTACACATAGTTTTTTAAAAGCAGATTTAGTATAAGGAATCAGCTCATGCAGGTAGAATGATTGGCAAGTCTTAGATCTGCCCATTTCCATCTGAAGGTCAGCAGGCTGCTGTGGAAACCAGGAGGAGCTGATGTCCTGGTGTGAGGTCCACCAGGCAGAATAATTCTGTCTTGGGGAGGGCCGGCTTTTCATCCCATTCACTCTTTTGACGAGTTGGATGAGGGGCCAGGGATTCAGTTCAGTGACAGCACGCCTGCCTCACAAGCGCTAGGTCCTAAGTTCAATCCTAGGTACTGAAAAACGAATGAATAGCAAACTAGTTGGGTGAGCCCATCCATAGGGAAAGCAATCTCCTTTACTCAGTCTGCTGATTTAAATGTTAATTTCATCTAAAAAATCCTTCAGCGGCAACAACAACAATGTCCAGAATAATGTTTGATCAGATATGGTATCTGAGCAGCCCATGGCCCAGTCAAGTTGGCGCCTAAAATTAACCATCACAGTGTATTTGTCAGACCGTGTCTGGGGACCCTGAATCATGTTCCAACACCACGTTTTGGAGACTATGCTGGTGAAGATCTAGCAACCATGGTAGCTAGGGAGGAGATGGAAAAGCTGAGAATGCTGCTCTGAAGAGTGAACGTGTGATAAAGGTCCAGCGACGCCTTCAGATATTTGAAGAATTGTGGAAGAAAGAGAAAGGAATTTTTTGGTGTGGTAGGCATGACTCAGACTAGCGAACAGAAAGTGAATCTTGTGAATAGAAAAAACTGTCTTGGAGGTCTTGTGAAGTCTTCTTTCTGTGAGGGTTCAGCAGATGCCTGCTGTGATCCAGAATCAGAAGTCTCTGGTTCTGGGGCTCTCTGGCACTGAGTAGGCCATTAGCCTCTCTGAGATTTCTTCCTCTCTACTGTGGAAATTATAGTAGCCTGCGTCACAGGTCCAGAGGGTCAAATGGAAATAACATCTGAATAATACCTTCTAAAGCTCTGGAGGTGGGGGAGGCCTTTGCAGAGCCAGGAGAGCTGGCAGTCAGGGGCAGAGTGCGGGCTAACCCCTTACCAAGGCAGGAAATTTCCACTGACCTGCAGTCAGGGACACCTCACTACCTCTGGCAGCTTGGAGTTCTTCTTATTGGAATGTGCCTGAGGAGTGGTGGCAATTCTGTTTCCAAATTCCTTAGCTCTGAGTGTATGAATCTTAGTTGTACTGGCCAGGAGAAGATACACTCAGCAGGGATAATGGTTCATGAAGGGATAAGCCGGCTGGAGTTGAGTGGGGCTTGTCCCTTGAACAATCAGCCTCATCATGGTACCGCTTTTTAATTCAGGGAACATTTTGAAGTTGTTCCTGATTTATTCTCTTGTTTACATTGTCCACTTGCTTGCCTTGGGAATGTACCAATGTTATGTATTCCTTTTTTTTTACTCTGTTAAAAAAAAAAGTGTTCTTTGTATAATGTATTTGAAACCCAGGGTTATATTTTGTGGCTGTACCATGAATGAGGACATGAGCAGCAGAACACTCTAGGATCCTCGCCAGCGCAGCCAGAAGTGTCCTGGCAGGGGCACAAAGACCTCTGCACTGTTGTGGTTTTTTTTTTTTTTAATTTTTCCTTTTCAGTGACAGACTTAATAAAATGTCTTTTACTACAAATGCTTTTCAGTGAAAAGAGGATTTTACAACCAGGCTAAGGTTAGAAGACCAGATAAACATGATCTGAGGCTCAGGGCTGGTGAACAGCTGCATTTCAGGGTGTTACATGTAGATGGGCATGGTTGGTAGTCTAGCTTTTTCATGTTCAGGTGACATCAAAGCTAAACACTCCATGCTGGATTGCTTATAACTGGCATCAGGGCACTTGGAAACTGTTATCCGCATATTTGGCAGCACTTTGCAGTACTAATATATAGTAGGTTTGTAGTAAATGGTAACTGTTGTCAAATAGTTTATACTCAGTTTACAGATAACTCTTTCTAAGCTTCCCAAGCTAGTACAAACCAGAAAGACTTTCTTCTCCTTTTTAGAGTACTAACCAGCATGCTTGCTATTTAGGGACTCATTCCTGGAATTCAGCAGGTATTTGAGTAATAATACTTGGTCAATCAATTTAGGGACCGCTTCCTCCCTAGTATGAGCTGCCAAAACCTAGAGCAGGATTTCTTACTCTGCCTTGTTGACATTTTGGATAATTCTTTGGGGTGTGTGTGTGTGTGTGTGTGTGTGTGTGTGTGGCCTGTGCATTGTAGGGTGTTTACCTATATATCTTGTTTCTAATCTATAGATGCCAATAGCACCTCATTCCTTTTGCGATAATCTTAAAAATACTTTTGTTTGGATTTGGGGGGGGTACCGGGGATCAAACTTGGAACCTTGTGCTTGTGAGGCAGGCAGCAACACCACTGAGCTAAATCCCCAGTCCTTAAAAATACTTTTGGACAGGGTGAAGGGAGGGCAGGGACAAGGGGAAAAAATGAGAACCAAGACCTGTCATGTAGAGGTACAAGATTCCAACAATGAATGTAACTGTACTATATCCCTAAAATGTACCAATAAACTCAATTAAAAAAATACTTTTGGACAGACATTGCCAAATGTCTCCTGCAAGACAAAATTACCTTTGGTTAAACCATTTATGCTGAAGAATGACTTTTTTAAATTTTTGCATGAAATTTGTATATATTGCCTAGAAAAATTCATGGGGGAAGAATTTGAGGAGAACATATTTCATTATGTTCCATTGTTATGGGTGTTCCAAAAAATGGATCATAGGCATTTAGGTTTAAGAACCACTGTTGTTAGAGGCAGCTTCAAGGTGCCCTGCACTGGGCCTGGGCTACAACAGTGCCTTTCACATTGTGGATCGCTCCATATTCATTAAGGGGAACATTTTCAAATGGGGCTGAACACTGGAACCATCCAGGGAGCTTTAAACAATTCTGGTGCCTGAGCCTCACCCTGAAGGTTCCGACTGGTCTGGGATGTGCAGCAGGACATTTAGAATCTCTTTAGGTGATTCTTCTTTTCAACTCTTAGTATATCATGGGATCAATTCAGCAAAGGAATTGTTTACCAGCATTTTAAGAAGTAAATGTGTATATATAGTTGAATTGGGTAAGTACTATTTTGTACACATGTTAAGGTTGGAAATGCTGCTGTGAGTGATACAGCCATTAGTAAAATCTCTGCCTTCAACTTTCTTTTTCAGTCTGGCTATTATAACCCCATCAGAAATGCCTTGCTTTTTGTTATGAATAAATAGTTAATGTGAAATTTACTGTAAGACATTTGTAATATGTATAACTATGTATTAATCTTTTTGCCCACATTTTGAGTTTTCAGCTTGATATTGTTAAGGTCATTTGTTTTATAAATACTAGCTAATGGCATGCATATTTTCACCAGTAACTAAATTTGATTATAGTATAGCAATGAGATGAGTTTCCTCCTTTATGGGTGTTGTTTATATGCCATGGTATGTTAAGTCAGCACTGCTACAAATACATGTAACAGAAATGTGGTGGCTTCCACACATCATCCTCCAGGTTTTATCAGGGTCAGGTTAATAGTCTCTTCATTATCTCTTACAAAATGAGCTTATACATATTCATCTCACTGCTGTGAAATAGAGGAATGTCCTAGAAGATTGGCAACGTTTTGCCATTCTTTTTATCTCAGTGCTCAGCCGAACTTGAAAGGACTCTTGCTGGGTCTCGGTCAGCAGATGCTGCAGCTGTGGGAGGTCCCTCACCCTGATTCTGAAGCCCATTACAAGCCCGTGAGAACACCCACCAGTGCTTCCCAGTTGAATTGCAACACATGACAGTCAACCTTCGGTACCCATAGAGGACTGGTTCCAGGACAATTTCCCAATACCAATCCATAGATGCGCAAGGCCCTTATTTAAAATAGCGTAGTATTTGTGTATAAACCTACATACATCTTCCTGAGTACTTTAAATTATCTCTGGGTTACTTATAATATCCAACTCAGTGTACATGCTATGCAGATAGTTATAGTGTACTGTTCAGGAAATAATGACATGGGGAAAAAAGTCTACATTTTCAGTACAGGTACAGATTTTTCCCCAAATGCCTTCAGAATATAGTTGGTTAAATCCATAGTTGTAGAATCCATGTAACTGGAGGCCTAATAGTACTCAAAAGGTTGGGTTTTACTATAGATGTACGGAAAATGGAAACGATAATTTTGATTACTCACAATGCACAAGTCAGTCTTCCATCACAAAGTTCTTTGAAAATTTGAGGGGAATTTTGCCGTTATCTAGGAGAATTATGTTTGGGAGTGTTTCTTCATCAGTTGCTGAAAAAGCTGGCTTGCCTATGTAACAGAGGGAAGAGACAAATTGGTTATTGACAAATACTCATCAGTGGTCTGATAAGTGCTTTCTCTGTGATTCAGCTCTAGATGTCTGAGCCATGTTAAACTATGTATTCTGTTTCCTTTAGGTGTCTGAGAGTTCTGTGGTCCAGTTTTCATCAGGAAACTTCTCCTTGACAGCAAAAACAGAAGAAAGGAACTTCCCTCATGGAAATGAACATCTTTTAAATTGGGCCCAAAAGGAGTATGGAGCAGTTACTTCATTTACCGAACTCAAGATAGCAAGAAACATTTATATTAAAGTGGGAGAAGGTAAATTATAAGTGGCTTCAGTTAGTAACTGATTTATGATAGGCAGTTTTCTGTTAGCCTGGTAGGGGTTAGGTAGCCAGGTGATTAGGGGAAAGAATCACAGAATTCCAGAATGGTGTAGCCAGCAGGAACACGGGGATCATTTGGGCTTGCTCTTCCACCTCTCCTTCTTTATTTTCCTTCTGGGAAGATTGACCTGGTAATGACCAAATGAGAAATGGGGATTGGTGCACTTGACAGAGAGTGGGAGCTGTTGTGCAGGATTCAGAAGACATCTGTGTACAGACATCAGAAAAAGTTAATGGAGGGTGAGAAGTGAAGGGTATGGGAAAGATGATAATGATGATGAAATTAAGGAGTTGGCAGTGTACGTCAACAGATCAGGCTTTCTTTCTACACATATTTGAAACCAGTATCAGTATGTGGTTGAGACGTCATTTAAATTTGGGCAATAGCAAAAGAAAGTGTTTAAATATATTTTAATATTCATGCCCATTCCAGAACAAGTTATTGGAGAAATGTTAGGCCTTGTTATTGGCCTTGATAAGAGACTGCCCATTTTAATTTCCTTGCCTTGCAAAGAGGTTGAAGTAGCCAGTGACCCAAACTTTCATAAAACATTCTTCATTGGTATTTTTAGTTGAGTACATTTGAACATCTGTAAGTTACTAAGAAATAACTCTGTAAATGAGTCCTTGTTATAGTCAAGTAACTATGAACACTGTTTCAGGTCTTCAGCATCTAGTGCTCTCTGGTGAATTCTGTAGTAGTTGTCACCTCCTCTGCAGATAGCATGGCAGGGAAGGAGGGTCATTGAATGTTTGATCCCAGGTCTTTGTTGAATCAGGACTGTTTTAAAGTGCATATGAAACAGATATTGCAAGGGTGGACACTGACATTAACAGCCACATCGGGGCTTTCATATGCACCCCACTTAACCCCATAGTAATCCCAGGAGGGAAACAGAGGGCTTAGTAGAGGGTGAAGGAAATTTGTTCAAATCCATATTGCTAGCAAGTAGCAAAAGTAAATCCCAAACCCAGTTTCTTGAACCTAATGCTTGTCTTCTGATGCTGTACTTTGAGTATTAGCCAAAGAAGCATAACCTGAAAATGAAAATAGGCTGCTAAATGGAAAGGCTTGTTTATTTGGGATGAGAGGAAGAAAGTTTAGGTGAGAGTTGGGTTCAAAAGATTTAAATTTGTTGCTAGGCTACTAGGGTAGTCAGTGAATAACAGAGGTCAACCCCATTGAGACAAAATGAAAACTCTCTTTTAATAAAAGATCTAATTCTTAGCCATTGCTACACATTTCTGAAGTGGAATTCTTGTAGTGTGAAAGAATGTTGATTACCCCTTGGAATTTGTCAGAATAAGAAAACTTGTTATAGTAATATTTAGAATATTGGGGTCTGTTTATTTGATAGTATATGGATTTCTATGCATAGCAGTCACCTGCCTTGTAAGCAAAAGGCTAAATAACTTAGGTAGTGAAGCTACACATCGGGTAGGGGAGTGAACATAGAAGACCAGGTGTCCAGTCCAGCAAAAACTGGTTAACTTCTTGGCAGTTCCTTTGCAGTCCCTGGAATTTGTCTCCAGCCACCAGTCAGGTCTAAGTCACTGGGCTAAGACATGAAAAGGTACAGTTGGGGAATTGGAGGCTCCTTGCTCAGGTTGGTGGATCAAAGACAAGGTCATGGACTATCGCCCTCTGTCAGCCTCCGCAGAGCCAGCCTCATGGGCTAGTCTGTCTTTGTATCCCACACCACATGCCGGCCATGAGCCTCCTTTTGCTCAAACCTCAGTTCTCAAACTCCTGCCCCAGTAATAACAGCAGCAGTAGCCTTGCCCAAGAACTTGTTAGAAATGCCTTTTTAGAAACTCTGGAGTGGGGCGGGTGTTCTCAGGAGCCCTCCAAGTGATTGTGGTGCTTATTCACAGTTGAGAACTGTTCTAACCTGTCTATGTATAGTGGGAGAGTGTTGGTTCTTACCACAACTGGTCATCATAACTGTGGACCTCAGCAACGTGATGTACCTCCACAGCCTCAGTTTCCACAGCAGAAAAGTGAGGCATTTGCGTTACTTCTCAGGCTAATTCCTGCTCAGAGTGTATCATTCTGGGTCTCAAAGTCATTTGTAGGTCTTTCTTAAAATACAAATAAGCCATGTAACTTTTCTTCCCAACCCCAGACTTGTTATGTTTCTCCCTGGAGGTTCCCATTGTGGTTTTCTTTCTATTTGGCACTTGATGTAAGATTTGATGCCAAGCATATGGAAAGTCATGTATGTTGGGGGGCTATATACACAACAAAAAGTGATTAGTTTATTGAACTTTGTGAAACTGGCATCTAGGACTGGAACCCCTAATTAACAGCAACTTTTGAACAATTAAACCGTTTCTAGTGGCTTACCAACATGGGTGAACTTTTTGTCACTTGCTTCAGATCTCACGTCTTTTGTGAATTTAGGAAACCTATCCTGTGTGCCTGTTACATGCCAATGACAAGTTAGGCACGCTTGTGAATTGGAAATGCAGGCCACAGTCCCAATAGGATCCTAGTCTCATTAGTTTTCTGGCCCATACACACACCTGATTCTCAATTAAATTTCAACCCTGCTGTCCCAGTATCATTTTTCCATCCTGTGATCTGGGGGAGGCATCACAGAGCTGCAGCTGTAGGGTGTGCATATCTCATCTGCACATCTGGCAAAATCCTCAGCAGATGTGAAGGAAGGCTGCTCTAGCAGCTCCGGTTGGGGAGCCTGTTCTCATTGAGGGGGCTTTGGAAACGAAAGCAGAGTGCAGAGCCAATGCTATCTGCAGTGAGCCTAGAATCAGGCCCTTGTGAAGTGCTCCGGTCTGCTCATTTCCCAGAATGGTGCTGGGGATGCTGCTGTGTGTGCTGCAGACTTTAGCGCAAGGGAGGTTACATAGGTGGGAGACAGTATTAACCCAACCTTGGAACTTCCTGAGTTGATTCCTTACCATTAGGTAAGACTTTCCAGTGAATGTGAACTGTGGCATCCATTCTTGAAATGAAATATGCAGAAATCTGTTTCCTAAAAGTGCCAGGTCTCTGATTAATTACCTCTTCTGAAAAGCTTGCAACACCTAGAACTTCCTTGACATTGGTCCCAGCTGTCATTCTGCCAGCAGTTTCTTCAGGTTCTGTTTAAACATTTAAACCACTGGATGGAAATCCCATCAACTGCAGTGCTGTGTAAATGGCGTGTGCTATTGGGTCTTCAGACTCTTGGTACTTTCATCTTCTTCCTTGCTGGAAGTGGAAGGCAGCCCTCAGCACAATGTTATTTATGAAACTACCTTAAAAACTGTAAAGCCATGTAAATAGAAGTTGTCTGCGTCAAGATTGTGAGGAGTAGAAGTCTCCCCTTCCTGTTTCTCCCAAAAGTTTACCTTTAATCTTCAGAGTATGAAGTGCTGAGGAATGAATGTGAGGGAATGACTAATGTTACATGTGTGGACCAGAAAATTAGGTGACTGGTTCTCCTAGAAATTTAAATTGCAAATACCTGGGAGAACTATATTTGGGAATAGAGTAGGTAGTGGATTCAATGCTGAGTATGCTAACCATGAAATACCTATTGAGATTTTAGATGGGAAATGGCTTGGTAGACAGTTGGCAAGTCTAGAACTCAGAAAAGGAGTCCTAGTTTGGACTGGGGTCCTAACAAGTAGGTCCTGACATGTACCAAAGTTTGTGGGCTGCTGTAGTGATAGAAACCCAAATACAGATCAGAGTAAATGGATAAGGTAAGAGCTGTCATGGAGAACAAGAACAGAAAGGACCTACGCAAAAAGAGGCCTCTAGAACTGGTCAGTAGGAGGTCACTGATAAACTGTGGGAAGCATTTCGGAGCAGTGGCTGAGGGGGTCATAGACTAAAGTTCTTCCTTCAGGCTTGTAGGCCTTGTGTCAAGCACCGAGTTTCACCATCACTTTTTCCTTTGAGCCTAGTTCTAGGCAGCTCAGTGTTTGATCGGTCTCCCTGTGCCTCCTTATTTTCAGATCAAGTGTTTCCTCCCACATGCAACATAGGGAAGAATTTTCTTTCGCTCAATTACCTCGCTGGGTACCTCCAGCCCAAAGCCGCAGAAGGGTGTGTGATGTCCAGCCAGCCCCGGGATAAGGAAGTACACATCATCGAGATAATCACCCCCAACTCTAACCCTTACAGGTGAGCAAGGATGCATGTGTGTGTCTTCTGCATGGAGAAGAGATGAAAATGAAAATCCTTTCTAATTCTTAGGTAGGGAAGGAGCCCTGTTGCTTACAGAAGCTGTGAAGAGGAAATAAGGCACATTGAGACAGTTTCTTTTTCACATCTGTCCGTAGATGCCATGTAGACCAGAGGAGTTCCTGAAGCCTGTTCTGAATTTCTGGGTATTTGTTACAGGACACAGTTACTTTTGCTCCATCATGCTCCCCTTTGACTGACATTTATCCATCTTGAGAAATTTACAAACTATACCTTATTAGCATAATACTCATTTTAGTAACATCCTGTTTTGAATGGAGTTCTCCTCATAGTGTCCTCCGAGCACTTACCCGTGCAGATTTATTTGCTTTAAAGCGCTGTGTGCAGGAGAATGTGTGTGCGTTGGGGAGTGGCTGTTCACAGCAACATACCAAGGAACCATTAGATCCAGCTTGCCTCTCTCCCTTTTTCTTTTTCTCCGTGTCAGCTTCCTATTTGGCACTCCCTATTGAGAATAATTACAGAAAAGTTTTTAAAAAGGAAAAGTTTTTCTCCCACCTTAGCCTACATTTCATGGGGACTAGTGACATAATAATTTAAAGTTATATTGTGGAGGGATTTTTAAATTAAAATTGTAATTATTTTCATTTCAAAAGTTAAAAAAAAAACAACTACATGTCAGTTTTGGTACGATTCCATTCTGTCTCACGTGAGGAATTTTGTGGAAAATTAAAAAGGGATGGGAACAGAAACAATCTGGCAAGTGTGTCACAGTAATTGCGCCATATTAAGCCTAATTCTTAATTGGAGATACCATTCACTTTGTGCTTTATAAGTGTGTAGAACCAAGATAGACATAAAGAATGACAGATGGTATTGTCTAATAAGAATTCTCCTTTATACTTTGAAACTGGATTGTACTCATCAGTTTTCTAGCAGTCAGTTGGTTGACCATATGCTGTATTTTAATAACAGTATGTCCAGAAGTTTGAGAAAGTAACTGCAGGGCCGGGAATTTGGCACAGTGGTTCCGCTGACTGCCTCGCAAGTGCAAGGGCCCAAGTTCAATCCCTGGTACCATTAAAAAAAAAAAAAAAAAAAAAAACTGAGAAGTAACTGCAGATATGATTCTTAAAATTGTTAATTGAACTTATGTAGGTCTGATTCTTCAGCCTGAGTACCTTCAGCCTTTGGCCTCTTATTTTATTCTGAAGTTTCCTAATTACTTTACCACCCTGCCTCCCTCCTCCCTGTCACCAGCTCCCCTTTTACCAAACTGCCACTTACGTCTTGCTTCTTGTTTTGAAGGACTCTGGGCATATAGCAAGTTGGAGTTACATAGTGAAAGTGTTATAGGTTGGAAAAGCAATAATTCTGCTTTAAAAATAAAGTATTCTGGCTTGTTCAAGTCCATTTCAAACAGTGGCTGCTTTAAATAACCACCTTTTTTCCTCCCAAAGAAGAGAAAAACTTAAGCAGCTAATTGTCAGCAGGCATGTGTTTCTATTGTTATGTAAAACCATTTTGTTATGTGTGCAATAACAATCTGTTTTGCACATGTCATTTGCCTGGGATGGACTCCAGCTTTTTAATCAACTGGCCAGACACTAGAAACATGAAGACTTGGAAGAGAGGAGATAGCTGCAACGTTCTGGTATTTAGGTCCTAACTTCGCCTTTGTTTTCCATTTTCAGTGATTTCCAGGTGGATATAATAATTGACATAAGACCTTCTCCAGAGGATTCTATAGTGGTCAAAAATCTCATACTGATCTTGAAGTGCAAAAAGTTTGTCAACTGGGTGATCAGATCTTTTGATGTTAAGGGGAACCTGAAAGTTATTGTAAGTTGATTGAATATTTTTTTGTCTTAATGAATGGCAGTAAACTGTGCTTATGTGTGTTATTTTTGTAAAGATACTAGCTCTTTGGACTCTCTAAACTGTCTTGGTTTTACTTTTATAAAGGTGCTTGTCCTTGGATTCTCTGACAAGGGTGGTTAGTGTGGTCAGTTGGTTAAAATATGGTGTCTAGGGGTAGGATGGACCTGGGTTTGAGTCCTAACTCTTCCATTTATAAATTGTGACTTTGGACAAAGCCTAGTTGCCTCATTTGTGAAATTCCCAAAATGCACTTTCTATATATCATAAGTTTTCAGCCTTATATGGTTGAATGTCCTGTAAGGGCCTTAATATCCTAATTAATGTCCTTAATGTCCTGAATATCAGATTTTATTGGGGGTTATAAATCTAGGGAAGATATGGAAAATTAGACTGACTCCAACTAACATCATAGACTTTTCTTTTTGAGCTAAATATACATGTTATCAGCATGAGTTTTTGCTTGCTTCAAATTCTTAGGGGTGGAATACCAGTAGAAGAAGCAGAGAACTTTGAGTACGCCCCAGCCTTTCCTTAAACATCTTATTTCATGAAAGTCATGCATTTAGGAGACTTTTCTGGTAGGCATGGAAGGAAACGGCAACTAGCTTCTTGAAAAGTTGAACATTAGAGCCTGGTAAAATAAATTTTACCTCAGATATGTGTTGGAAATTGCTATTTGGCAGAATATTGGAGTAAATCTTATGGAAAGTTAAAGAAAAATCTCTCTCATTTTAAAAAACTCCTTTAGCATCTCTTTTGTAGGCTCAAAACTTCATGCATTATCTTTTTTAAAACATTTGACCAATTTCTATGTAACCTGTATTTGATCATTTGGAGTGGATTTTACGTTTTAAATATTTTAGGAGAGAGGGCTGTCCTTGGTTTTGGTATGATTCAGTCCTGCATGGCACCTTCCATGAGAGATAGCATGAGCAATGCCAACGGTTTCCTAGGCAACATCATGTAAATGCACTTGCTGGAGGCAGCAGCAAAAGCCAGAGTACATACATCTTAATTTTAAAGTAATCTTTTCGGGTTCCTGTGGGGATTTTTTCTCTTAAACTTTGAGAGGGTCCTAATAACTCATTATGTGTAACAGTGATATATTAATTTGGTGTCAAGCACAAGGCCCAGCCATGATTTTTCTGAACTTTTATTGCCTTTCCTGGCATGGCATGAGGGGTGTTGGTGACCTGGGGTGTCTCCTGATTTTGCTGCCTGGTACACCGAGCGAATGTTTTTAATTTCAGAATAACAAAAACAGGAAAGGGAATCATGCTTTGAAAGGCAAAAAACATACGGTATATTTTATTTCCCAGCCAGAGTTCTTGTATAAATATTCCTTCAGCCCTGACCCTTCAGTGGCTCTTTCTCTCCCTGAGTATGTGTGCCTGGTCCATGGCAGCCCAGAGTTCACTGGGAATGTCCCATCTCTTATAGGAATCAGAACGGCTAGAGATGAGATCGCTCATCCCAAGAAAGATCTGTTTATATTCTTCTCCTTGGCTGTACTCCTGTTCCAGGCCAATTTTGGACAATGCATGACAACATTACTAAACAATTAGATAATGTTTCATGATGTTCTTTTTTCTTCTCCCAATCAGTTTCATGCTTGGTGATTTCCTAACTCCCTGTCTCAGATGTGAATTCTGACTAGGCTGTGGGAGAAAGAAAGGTACCTGGTAATAAAAAGGTTTAAGTTTCTGCTTAGGAAGGGAGAAATGTTTTTTAGTGACCTTTTTTTCTAGTATTTTAAGTGCAGATAGCATGATGGAGTGGAAAGAATCCTGACTGTGTGTCAGACAGTGCTAGATTCAAGACTCATCTCTGATTATCCTTACCCCCAGCAGATATTGGGTGATCTAATTGAATACTGAATCTATTTAGTCACCTGTGAAATGGGTATGATGCTGGCACTCCTTTTCAGTGGTTTAACTGAGTTGGTTCATTTGTTCATTCATTCATTCAACAAGTATTGGTTAAAGCCTACAGGATATTTCATCTAAATTTACTGGACACAATGCCCACACATCTTGAGTTATGTATGAGTCCCTGATGTGTGAATCTCTGATTCTTCTTCTCTAACACAGGAAGAGTAGCAGCACCTCTCCCCTTATTTAGAGGAGGATTAAATAAGATAATATATGTAAAGTTTCTCACTTGGTGCCTAGCATTAAAAGGGGGGGGGCTCATCTTCCTTCCATAGGAGCTCTCTTTAAGAATATATCTATAGAAACAATTAAGGCATCTCTCTAAACAAGGAGAAAACAAAGAATAAAAATAAGTAGACATAAAGAGCTTGATGGGGTAACTTTAAATAAGAGGACATTAAACATGGATGGCTTGTACCTGTGCAAGGAGAATGCACCCTTCAAATGGCAAAATGGTCCAGAGAGATCAAAAGGTTTTGTTGGGCAAGAATGGGAACCCTTGGGCCAGGGATTTGGCTTAGTCATTCCGCTGCCTGCTTCACGAGCTCAAGGGCCTGAGTTCGATCCCCGGTACCAAAACAAAAAAAAAGAATGGGAACCCTGGATGTGTCCACACTGTCATGTCCAGCTCTGGCTCTTTCCTCAAATTCCATATGGCCAATGCTTAATCATTTCTATAGCAGGGGAGAAAAAAAACAAAACATAAAAGAACAGATCAAGTAAACTTCTTACACTTTTATGTGGCCTTCAGATTTATAGACTTGTGTTGGACAGCTTACTCTTAGAAAGTCATTTTTAAAATCAGTGAGTATAGGCACTACCCCTTTGGCCCACCTTCCCCTAACATCCCTCCCCCAGATCAGTTTTGATACAAAGATGGGGCCAAATAGTAGAGGCAGTTAGACTTATTAACCTAGCACATCATCTTTCCTAAAGATGTGGCTGAGGAAGATAGTGTGGTACAGACTTGTTTGAACTCCCCCTTACCTCCATTATAGTTGGAAAAACTATAGTTGGAGAACTGCAGAAAATGAAGAGAAAAGAATTTGCTTAGTGCTGAAAACCAGCTTCCCTACCATTATCCCAAGCCTTGCTGCTGTACAAATGTGTGGATAGATACCTAGTCTTTTAAGAAGGTCTTGTCCTTAAAGGGGTACTGACAGGACCTATAATGTAATGTGGAAAGGTGTAGACAGGTTATTCCATATGGTTATAAAAAGACAGATAGTAGTTATGATGATAACATTCTGTAAATACTGTATTTTCTCAGCTGTACAACAACATGAAAGACCAGGGCAGATAAGACCAAGCAGCACTGTTGAGGCCAAGGTTGTGATTCTAGCCAATCAAAATGATCTGCTGCTTTGAAAGGCTGGAAAGATCTGTGCTTAAGAAACTGCTGGTGAACAAATAAGTAAAAATGCTCTAACAACTAATTAGATCCTGCTTTACCTTATTTTGGTTTTTGTTCTTTCCTTTTCTCTTTTTTTTCTTTCTTTCTCCCTCTTCCTGCTTTTCCTTTCCTTGTATTCCTCTAAAAAGTTTTCTCTGAGTTAGAGTAAGAACTAAACCATACTGAATCTGTGAAGCTGAGTTTACAGATGGCTACAAAACTTGGTTAAAACTCCATATGGCTGCTTTATGTGCAATGGTTGTGACTGGTCAGTCTGGCAGTCTTCTCTCAGATAAGCACTTTGGGTAATAGAAAATCAGACTGGGTGAGATCCTTTAACATTTGAATTGAAGTGTATGTGTCCTCAGCCAAATCTCCCACCAAAAAGACCAAGAGAATTTAGAGCCTGTGAATCTTTTATGGTTTTACAGTGGGAAAGGATTAATATTTCGTCATGTTAGGGGCAAACAGAATGGGAAACAAATGAGGAATTTAGGGAAAATGCTGCATATATGCAGGAGAAAATCATTGGGCATGGAAATTAAAGTGCCTTTTATTCAGCATGAAAATGGCAAAATCTGTGCTCTGGAAGGGCTTTCCAGCCCTGTTGGAGCAGTTGTGGAAAACATGTCTTCCCATTGGGAACCCTCTGAAGGATTCAGCTCCCCTGCTCCCTGACAAGATTACTGCTACTGTAGTCAGCAGCTAACACAGACGTTTACCTTCCAGGTCCTGGTTGCGAAGAGTCTGTGTGTACCTCTCATTTTACTTTTGTGACTAGTTACACAGAGAAACTGATTTTGTGACCTCCATGTTTTACTGAATAAAATATTGGTACGTAGAGGAGTAATAACTTTAATTAACATTTAGAACAAAATGTAGGCATATTCAGTTAATAGAATTGGCACTATTAAAACACTGTTAAAAGATTGCTAAGATGATCATAAATTAAAGATAAAATATAAACATTTGTTGTTTAACCATGTGGAATTTAATAAAGTTGGAAGAGTCTCCACAGGAAAGTCACTAGGCTGTGGCATCTTTCATTTAAAAATGGGGCACACCTAATGAGATAATGGACAATGTGAAATAGGAAGAAAAGGGCTAAAGGTGTAGGGAACATGGGAAGGGTAGGGGAAAGGTAATAAGGGAAAAGAAAAAATAGGAGAAAATGAAAAAATGGAAATAAAGTGTTTGTAAATGGGGAGGGGAGGAAGGGGTGAAGGGAGGGCAAGGACAAGGGGGAAAAATGAGAACCAAGACCTGTCATGTAAAGGTACACGATCCCAATAATGAATGTAACTGTATTGTATGCCTACAATGTACCAATAAACTCAATTTAAAAAAAAAATGGGGCACAAAAGTAGCACAGACCTTTTTGGGTCTTATAATATGGACACCTGCATTCTTTATATATAATTTTAAATAAAAATAAAAAGGTTTGATATACATATCCGGTGTTGTATTTTAATAACGGAACCATTAAACTAGTTCTGTAGTGGTGGATGAGGTATGTTTACCACATGGCTACTTACATAGCTGTCACTGGATTGTTTTTATCAATATAAGCAATCCAAGTGCTGTGATTACCCAACATGAATAGATGTCTTTTTATTTGTTGTTAAAGGTTTTGCGCACCAGTGTTCTTAGCCCAAGGAAAATCAGGATCAAAAGAATAAATAGTCCCTCATAAACAATCTGCAATTATTATTATTTAAAGTACTTTTTGATTTTTGGAGTCATGAGTGAAATTTTGCTGGTGGTTTATTTGTTTGTTTCTTTAGGCTCCCAACAGTATTGGCTTTGGGAAAGAGAATGAAAGATCCATGACAATGACCAGATCAATAAGAAATGACATTCCTTCCACCCAAGAGAATTTGGTGAAGTGGGCTTTGGATAATGGCTATAGTCCAGTGACATCATACACACTGGCTCCTGTGGCTAACAGATTTCATATTAGAGTTGAAAACAACGGTAAGCATGACTTTTTTTGGAGGTTATATGAAAGATACCATCCAAATAAAGCTATTTTTCTGTTGCACATTTTAGTAGTTTCTTTCTACCACAAGACATATACTTATCTAGAATTGTAACAGAGAAATTTAGCAAAACTATAATACAGATTTTCATAACACACAGTTGATTGTGTGTCTGAAAATTTTGTTGTAGATCATGTTTATTATGATTATATTAGGAATAAATTACCCTGGAATCTTCTTTCAGAGGCATTTAATAATCACATGTGATTGAAGAGAGAGATGGGTTAGGACTGCAGGAAGTAAGTTCAGGGTCGGAGGCCTAATCTTATAGGAAAATGGTCAGGAGGCTCATACTTGGGATTTGTTACCCAGAGGGAGGGAAAGAGTTGTCACTTCCTTTTGATGGAGCAAGAAGCAGGGGCTCAAGTTCTCCAGGATTTCCAGTCTTACAACTAATATAACTCAAGCCCCAAGTTCTCTATATCTAGACCTGTTTCTTACCTCCTGGTCCCACTGAGTGCAAGGCCAGTAGAATAAAGGTTACAAGTTTAGGTTCAAGTCCCAGTGCTACCATTTGTTCACTGTTTGGAGAGAAGGTATGTAACTTTTGAACCTCAGCTTTCTCTTCAGTAATTAGAGGAAAAATAATAGCACCTACCTTGTAGGGTTGTTGTAAACATTTTAATTAATAGTCAAATTAAAAACCCTCCAAATCTAGGACTTCTTTGGGACCCGTACAGCTGTAACATGCTTTTCAAAAGGATTATATTGGAGAGTTCAGGGCCGGGGATTTAGCTCAGTGGTTTGGTGGCCTGCCTTGCAAGCGCAAGGACCCAAGTTCAATTCCTGGTACCCCCCACACACAAAAAAAGGATTGTATTGGAGAGTTCAAGTTCACCAGTCATCTTCATGTCCAACCTCCACTAATGTGGATTTGACTTCCAATATACATGAGTTGGCCTAAGGTAGTGAGTAGAAAGTAGGAAATACTGGGGAAATAATTTTTCTTTAAATTGTTGAGAATATGATAGAATACTAAATATAGCTTCTGTGGAAATACATCTCTCTTTGAAGCAATAAGTGTGTCTGAGTAGCTCTTTATTTTCCCCTTGGGTACTCAGTTCTGAAAGTGTGGGAAGCCCCGTACCTTCTACAATTTAGAAGTTAAGAAAGTAGCAAAATAATTTTAAAATCCAAAATTGAGCCAAAGAGTAGCACTTGCCTAGCTTGCTTGAGGCCCTGAGTTTGATCCCCAGCAATGTAAGCAATAAATAAAAATAAAAATACTACTATTGTTTCAGCAAATCTTTTGAGAGTTTTTTTTTTAAATCTCTAATTTCAAGAAAAGCATTCTAATGGCTTTTGAATGGAATAATATTGCCCCACCTAACTTGCTCTAGTCACAGATATTTAGCTTCTATTTATATATTATAGAAATTATCTACCAAAACATTTCTCAGTCTTGGCTGTACATTGCAGTGATATAGGGAGTTTAAAAATATGTTAATGATTACATCCCACCCCAGAGAGTTTTAATTGGCTTGTATAACCTTGGGATAGGTATTTTTCTTAAGCTCCAAAAGTGATTTTAATGTATACCCAAATTTAAAATACTGCTGGGCGTGGTGGCTCACGCCTATAATCCCAGCATTTGGGAGGCTGAGAGGCAGGAGGATTGCTGTGAGCTGGAGACCAGCCTGGGCTACATAGTGAGTTCCAGATCAGTCTCAACTACATAGTGAGACTCTGTCTCAGAAAAAACAAACAAAACAAAACAAAACCAAAAAAACCCAAAACACAAAGTTAAGATACTGATACAATCCAACTCCCTAATTTTAAAAATTGGGAAACTGAGGCATGAGAAGCCACTTACCAAGAGACACCCAGTTAGCTGGAGCACCAAGACTGGAATTCAGGCTTCCCAAATGCTTTTAAACATTGCTTGTTAAATATAATTTTTCGCTGCCCATTCTGTGCTAATTTCTCCTGCTCTACCTCTAAGTATGATGACTGTCCTGCTATCACACACTGATGATGATTTGCCCTCTTCTGTTGCCACAGAGGAAATGAGAGATGAAGAAGTTCATACCATCCCTCCTGGGCTACAGATCCTGCTGGACCCAGTCCTCCTGCCTGGCCCAGAGAACCCACCCTTTCAAGGAGGGGGTAGTCGAACTGGAGGTTTCCCCTTTCCTTTTCCTGCTATCTCCAGGAGAGGCAGGAAGGAAGGAGGAGAAGATAGGATCCCTAGGCTAAAGGATTCTGTCATCTCCAGTGTACAACTGTTTCCTGGTCTCAGAGAACCGGAAGAGGCACAAGGGAGCACAGATATTGTCCCATTGGTCAAATGTGACAATGAAAAGATGATTGTGGCTGTAGAAAAAGATTCTTTTCAGGTCAGTGCAGTCTGTTAAGAGAGAAGAGAGGCTGCTTCCTTTCCCATTTTGTCCCATTCTATGTTCATTTTACTTTTGAACTTTGGAGACTTGGTACGGTTTTTAGTTGGATGGTCCCTCTTCCCCTTGGTTGTGAGTCTCACCTGGTTCCTGTTGTTCTCAGTGAAGGGGAGGGGGATTCCAGAGCGTTGTATGTCAGTACTTTGCTATTGTATTTCCAAGACCAGCAAACACAAGTCTTAGGCTGTTCACAAGTGGTCAGCTGAGAAGAGGTGGGGGGGGTGGGCAGGATACAGGCCTTCAGCCACTTTTTACTTGGAAGATCAGGCTATGTGTGTTAACTTTGTACAGCAGAACTGCCTGTGAGCCCTCCAGGATGCTTTTGGTGGTTTTTATTTCAGACCAGCAGCTACTCAGGGATGGAGCTCACCCTGTTGGATCCTTCCTGCAAGGCCAAGATGAATGGCACACATTTCATTTTGGAGTCTCCCCTGAATGGCTGTGGAACTCGGCACCAGCAGTCAGTCTCCCACGGTGTGGTTTACTATAACTCTGTGAGTGTTCTCCACAACAAAGTTTTGCCCTTCTCCAGAGAATTGCTGGGTATTACTTTAAGATTAGTCTTGTCTTTCTATGAAAATGAAATAAAGTCTGAGTCAGTTCTTAACAAAATGTGATACACCTTCCCTTGAGCTCTTCATTTGCTTTATTGGTGAGTCTGGGAGTTTCTCAGCTGGACTTTTGGGGATCTCACCCTCTTCCTTCTTCCATCTCCTGATGGCAAAGGGTTCATTAGTAAAATGACCGTGACTTCTTTCTATAACAAGCTGAAGGGTCAAATGGCAAGCCCTTGGGCTAACTGGGAGTATCTCTAACCAGGTGTGTGATCTCACTGGCCTCATTTGGGTCTTATCCAGAAGTGAGAGGACTTCTTCTTTCCTCATAAATGAAGATTCAAAAAGAAAATTTAAAATCCCAAAGGACCTGGAAAGAATTGCCAAGTCACCTTCTCCACCTCTAGGAAAAACCCTACATTTAGAAGTTATCTGGAGAAAGGTTCTACAGATTTCTCTCAGTAATAACCATTACAATAACTAACCTTCCAGGACTTTCTGTCAGTTCATCTAATATTTTCACTTTAAATCTGTTCTTTGAGAAAGAGACTGTGGTAGGTGGTGAATTGCTAAAGAATTTTAAACATGAAATCTCACAAGAACTTCCAGGTACTAATGTTGTAGTTATGATTGTACTTTCAATGGTAAGAATAAGGCTCAGACATCCTCTCTCTGCCTTTGGCACAGAATATCTGTGTGTGTTGTCCTCTGAGCATCTACTGCAACATTGTTGTGGGATCGGGTGGCTGTGGCTGCTGGTTCTTTCCCCTGCCAGTCTGCAGGTAACTTCCAGAAAAGAGGCTGGAGATGGGGGGCTCTGGTCAGTGTGGTTATATGGCAGTGGCTCTTTTCTGGGCCCAAGTTTATTATTCCTCAGAGAACTTCAGAATGCTGGAGCTGGAAAAAACTCTGAGATGACCTCATTCAATTTCCTCATTTCACAGGTGAGGAAATTGAACTCTGGGGAGTTAAAAGACTGCTTAGATCCAGTTGACTAGTTAATGGCAAAGCTAGGATTGAATCCAGCTTCCTGATCTCTTGTCCAGTAATCTTTCTTCAATACCAGGCTGGCCTAGCAAGTACCCATTTGTTATACAAGTAATTAATTTATTAACTTTTTATTTCATGCTAATTACAACACTAATTTTCCTGCAGACGTAGTTAATGTCATGTATTACTGCTATACTTGACTTTTAGCATTTAAAAACTAATATCCAAGTTAACAAGAGTAACAGGGTATGATACTTTGTTAAGGACAAAAATTGCTTCACAAGATAAAGCACTTTCTTTTTCATATATTTTTATGTACTTTATTATGATTATACAGAAAACAATAGCCTGGGTACTTGTTTCAATTGCTTAGTACTTTCTTTTGAGAGTACTTTTTTAAAGAAGAAAGAGGCAATTTTTTGTCATACTCTTCCCATTCTATTCCCTTTAGTAAATATTTTAATTGTTTCAGTTACAACTTTTTCTAGTAATTTTTTAGAATTATGATATGTTTTTGTTTTACATCATGTTCGGAATCCATTATCGAGTGGAAAGAAATTAGGATTTTATTTGTAGAATCATGGTCTTGAGTGACCTTCTCCATGTTATTTAGAACTAATCCAGGAACAATTAACTTCAGCCAATGTTAAGATAGATTTTCCTGGAAAAGAACATACTTCTTTTCTGCTTTTGTACACCATACAGAAGGACATTGGAAAAGCATTCAGCAAAAGAGTAGTGTAAGAAAAAAGATGAGATTGGCTCCATTGTAAACCTGAGATTCTTTGTTTCTAATTGAAGCCAAACTTCTTGCATATCTTAAAGAGAACATATAATAGAAGCTCTTTGCAATAGCTAATTCTTAGTATTGCTTAGAGTTTTTAATATAAAGACCCAAAGGAAAAGACCCGCCCCCCCCATATATGTAAACTTGTCGACAACACCATTCAACTCTATTTCAGTGTGTAGAGTTTTCCCACTCTAGGGAATAATTTATAATTATTCAATGTAATCATCAAATAAATCTGTATTTTTCACCAGGGAAAATACAAATTTTAGTTCAGATTTTTTTCTAGAACTTGCATTGGTCTTTTTTTTTATCACTTTAAAGATGAAATCCTAAAATTCTTAGTTTTTTATCTTGAAGTCAGATTTTGAATTTGCATCTAAATCGTTACATGAATATTTGTATGAAACAGACCAAAATGCCCGTGGTCAGGTTTTTTTTGACAGTGACTGTGCTTTCTGCCATTTTAGATTGTGATACAGGTTCTGTCGCCTGGGGACAGCAGTGGCTGGCCAGATGGTTATGAAGATTTGGAGTCAGGTGATAATGGATTTCCAGGAGATTTGGATGAAGGAGAAGTTTCCGTCTCTAGCCGTCCTGAAATTGTGATGGTATGCGTTGGCTTCTAGTAGGTAGTATATGGAGAGTGTTGTCCATTTAGTTGGCTTTCATTAGGGACTATTAGAAAATAAAGCTACGTGTTAAAGGCCACAACTTACAAAGCTACCAGGCCTTCATCCTTCGTGTCACTATGATTTATTTGTATCTGTGGGTTTTTTTCCAGTTTAATTGTAGCTTGAGGCGACTGGGGAATCCCAGCAGTGTTCAGGACCAGCCTGGTGGAAACATCACTTTCAACATGGAGCTGTACAACACTGACCTCTTTCTGGTGCCCTCCCAAGGGGTCTTCTCCGTGGCAGAGAATGGACACATTTTTGTTGAGGTGAGACCGTAACACCGGCCTTGGGCTTCGCCTCAGCTCTGAGTTGCAGTTCCTGAGACAATAGCTAATGCACCGCACGTGGGCCTCTTCCTTCCTCTCCTCATAGCCCTCCCCAGCTCTAGACGACGACTTGGCTCCGAAAATGCTTTAGGTTGCTTTCTGAACAGAACAAGAAAGCTCAGGATTTAATACATTATGCTAAATGGAGAGAATCTTTGGTAAATAAATATTAAAAATTAAAAGGACAGTGTATAAATTGTAATAAAGCCCTGTGTTTGCTTTGAAGCTAGCTTTTTTGAGGGGTGGTTACCGGGGATCGAACTTAGGACCTTGCAACTGTGAGGCAGGTATGGTGCCACTGAGCTAAATCCCTGGCCCAAAGCTAGCATTTTTTTAGAACAGCAGTTCAGAAGTTTCAGTGTCAGAGTTAACCATGGAATGTTTCAAATCACCTCACATATTATTCTTTTAAAAGTACTTATTTTTAAGTGAAATACTATTGGCACTATATTTCATGAAAACAATCTTTTCTGAATCATTATCTAAATATATACATTTATTAAAACTATTTCCTATATAAAACCAATAATAATCATGCTAGCATAAATCTGGAAAGACTGAAGAATATTAGGTAGTGGTAATAATAATGAAATAACAGCAGCTCACTTTATTGCTAATGTACAATGTGCCAAATACAGTTGTAAGTATTGTAGTAATTAGTTAACTCTTCAGAGCAATCCTGTGAGAATGGGCTAATAGTAACTTCATTGTATGGAAAATTGAGGAACAAACTTTTCCGAGATCACCCGGCTACTACAGTTCAGCTCAGATCACCCCCCACAAACTATGTGGCTCCATAATCCCACTATTGTCCAATAGATGCTATTGTCATTTATCCTCAAAGTGCCATTTGAAAGAGAAAAAAGCAGAACCTCTTGTCAATGCAAGTATCTAGGTTCACAGATTGGACTCTCGCAAAGGCCAATCTCCTATGGCACCAGACTGTCTGTTGCCATTGTGCCTTGGGCAGAACCTGCAGTGTTTCCACTGGGGGTATTGTCTGCTGGTCTTAAGGGATATTGTCATCTGATGAGTTGGTTTAGGTGCTAAGCTGCAAGCTGGTGTTCTGCTTACTGTGAGAGGAGTGAGAAGCTCGAGGGGTTGAAATAGGATAGCACCATATGGTAAAAGTGACTTCAGTGCACATACTTCTGTTTTAGAAAGACAGATAACTCTCACATCTGCACTGGCTCTGAGACCAAGGCCGCTGGCTCTAGATGTTGTTTTCCTTGATCATAGAGATTGTCTCCCTCCTCTTCTGACCTCCTTTTTTGAGAGTTCTTTTCTCTTTCTTTGGGTGCCCCTACATTCCCTGCTGAGGAAGAAAACACTGCTTTCTTTCTACATGCTGTTCCTAATCATAGCTCTGTCCTAATCCAAGGTTGCTGTTTTCCTCTGGCTTTACTGGCTGTACAATCCACATGTGCCTTTGGTCAGTGACTTCTCATTGTGCTGTGGATTTTAGTGGCATTGTTTAACTGCACTTTGTTCTTTTCTAAATATGTGCCTGGCTTGGCTAATTTATGGTTTTGCTAGTTTATCCTAATCAGTGGTTAATCTTCCTTGTGTATCTTACTCTGGATATTTTGGGGCTTTTTCCTTTATCCCTGCAGTGTTGGCTTACTTGAAATATATTATTGGTAGTTTTTTCCTCCTCCCTTTTTATTCTTGTTTTCCCACTATATCCTTTCAAATATCATCTGTATTTTGTGTAATTAAATTTAGTAAAAAGTAGAACAGATCTTTTTACAAAATATATTTTAAGTTTTGAGTACACTGAGGAGAATTTAGGGATGGGGAAATGTTATAAACTGTTTTATTTTAAAAATTGATTTAAACTACCTAAAATATAAGAGAATCTGTAAATGTTTTGTTAAATAGAACAGCAACCAAGTGTGCCTTATCTCTGTTTTCCATTTTGCACTCCATTGCTGGTAGGAAATTTTTTTTACTTAGGTTTAGTGAAACTTACAAATCATTGACTTGATCCGAAGAACCACGTCCTGGTTTCTTCTCCCTAACATTCTTATCCTTTCCCCAGATCTTTCATTCCCTCTAGACCACAATTCCTTCCTTTAATCCAAGACATTAACAGTTTTGCCACCTGGTCTTTGATCATCTTTGGGTGACTGTTACTAATATAATGACAGTTTCTCTTTTAGTTGATTTGAACAGGTAAAGGAGAAAACAGTTTTAACCTTCCAAATTTAAATCTAGAATCATACTTCTAATTGGCTGCCTAGAAGCTGTGCTGTTCATGTGTAAACTTGAAGCATTTGTAGGTAAAAAGATGTACATTGAGGCCATAATATTAAGCGAAGCACATAAAACTTTTACATTCCTAATTCTGACTATCTAGAAGCCATTGCTCAGAAGCTGTATTGTTTAAATGTAACTTTTATGTTATTGATTCTCTCATTAACAATGCCTTATAAGTATTAGTGTCCCCATTCTGTAATAGAGTCTCAGGGTATACACATGAACAGCACAGCATGTGGTTTCCTTGGACTTGTCTCACTCTAAAGCCTATAGTGTTCTGCTACCCATTCACAGTCCATTTTGTTTATTTGTTTAGCATTGCTGGGGATTAAACCCAAAACCTCATACATGGAAGGAAAGTGCTCTCCTTTGAGGTTGTATTCCTAGCCTTTCGGTCTATTTTAGCATAAAAGATATGTTGATATTTTTTCCCCTCCAAGACAACTTTTTGGGGTACCCTAAACACTCTGCTATTACATACTACCTTTGAGAGTAAGATTTGCAGTACCTTTGTTAGACATTTTTCATGGGTTGCACATTATGGGTTCTGAGCTCATGTTAAAGGGTATTTTTTTGCTAGTAGGATATATGTAATTTACCAACTTTGCAAGATAGAATACCTTGTTCTGCAGAAATACTATAAAAATAATAATGTGTATTTAAAGAATGTCACTCCAGAGTGACATCGTCATTTTTATCTTCATTAGCATCCTCCTGCTTTTGTCATCTTTGTTGTTGAGTACTATATAGTATTCATGTAGAGATCTTTCATATAGTTCTGTGGATTCAGAGCCCCGTTTGATGTCAGGGATTTCCCCTGGGTGTCTCAGAATGGAAAGTTTATTTATCTTTCCACATCTTTTGAAAGGATTCTGGGGCTCTTGGCCCATGGCTAAGAACTAACTTTATTTCTAAAGTGTTTAAGTTTATTTTGATCCTAAGTTTAGTTGAGGAATGAGGCATAGAAGGGAAAAGGGCAGTTCACAAAGTGTTCTGCATGTCACCAAATGGAGAATCCAGTCTGTTCTGGAGATTTGAGCTGAGTTCAGGTTAGTTGAGGTTTGATTCTGTTTACACTTGGCTAACCACTACTTCCTGTTTCTAAAGAAAAAAACCTTAACAAGATTTGGACATGGCCCAGACAAATGTTTTGTAAAAGGGAAGTGTAAATGAGTTGGAACTGTTTCCAGATTAGATTCCCCTTAAAATACCCGTGGGTTTAAAGAGTGAAGGGAGAGTACTTGGCAAGGCTGGTGTGGTCCTGCGAACAGCTGGGACACTTTGCCAGGCCTGTGATGGCCACCAGACTGCACTGTGTCTGATATCCAGCCCCAGAGGCTGCTCTGCCTACTCCCTAACAAAGGAGAACTTAAGATGAATCTGGAGCTTTACTGTAATGTTCTAGGTTTGCTCTGATTTGTTATAGTTTAGAAGCTCAGTCTTTCCTGCTTGTGTTACCTAGAGCCTGCCTCTGTACTTTTTTTTTTTTTTGAGCAATTTTTAAGGAGTTTGTCCTATAAGTAACACACTAATATAACAGGGTTTTTAGCTGTGGATGTCTTATTTTGGAAAATTCTCTCAGGTGCATGGTATGCTTTTATTTTCATCTCTCAGAGGATTTATGGGAGGTTGAAGAGACAGCCATTCATGTTGCATTTGAAACTTAGCAGGCCAACATTTAAACTAAATATTTCACTGTTATCATCCATATCCAGTTTAAATGGAAGATATGTCTGTAATTAACATATGGTACTTTGATAGCTAAAAAGAAGCCCATAAACATGTTTTGAAAATAAAGCAATATCTCATCCAAAGGGCTATCAGTATATTGTCTTCATGTCGAAGTAAAAGTAAGATGCTTACTCATATCTGAATTTATCTTTCTGTTTTTTTTTTCTAGGTGTCTGTCACTAAGGCTGACCAAGAACTAGGATTTGCCATCCAAACATGCTTCATTTCTCCATCTTCAAACCCTGATAGGATGTCTGATTACACCATCATCGAGAACATTTGTCCTAAAGATGAATCTGTGAAATTCTACAGTTCCAAGAGAGTGCGCTTTCCTATTCCACAGGCTGAGATGGATAAGAAGAGATTCAGCTTTGTCTTTAAGTCCATGTTCAACACCTCACTGCTCTTCCTGCAGTGTGAGCTGACACTATGTTCCAAGAAGGAGAAAAACCACCAGAAGTTGCCTAAGGTGTGTGGGACTCCATCCTCAGGGACTGGCTTTTGGCATTGTTACACAAGGCAGTGACCTCCTGGGGAATTGGATCTCACGTTGAGGTTTTCGGTTTTGGAATTGGCTAGTTGAAGTAATAAAATCAGTGTGAGCAGAGACTAGTGAATTTTATGGAGTCTTACAGCATAAATCCTGACAGTATGATTTTTTTTTTCTACATATGCTACTTAGTATTACCTTATGAGTGATAAATCAGTACTGTTTTCCATTGAGGGAGAGGCTTGGCTTTATCTCTGCTAGTCAGCTAGTGTGCAGTGCCAGAATTGCAGCAAGCTGAAAGGACAAGTTCAGTGTGAGGATTAATTTTTCCAGGTCCCACTGAGACTTGGATTACAATTGTTTTTTGACCTTCTCTGTATGAATTATAAGGTTGACTTGTCTCAGAAGGATTTCTAAGGGAAACTAACAAATATTTTACTTTTTCTCAGTTCATCGTGTTTGTCTCTCTTCATTCCTTATACTGAACGAGTACATTTGGTTACCATAACAGAAGTCAGAACCCTTTGGCCTTGCTGGAATGCTACTGCAGGGGTTCCACAAGGTTAATTATGATACCTTGTTAGGTTGGCCTTATGTGTGAAAGGAATCTTCTGTTATAACTTTGTTTCAGTCACTTGCTATAATTATGTGTGACTTCCTATGTGCATTTGTGTGGTAGAAATCACATAAAATCACATAAACCAGCATAAGCTGGTTTCTTATCCTTTTGTAGTCAGTTATCAATCTCAAAGGCTAAGAATCAAGCTGTATCCTTACTAATGTATCATAGAAATTTCTCATTTAATATATATAGGCTATCAGAAATAGGTGTAGAAGTAAAAATAATCATTTAGTGGTTAAGCCTACTAGATTACCATGTATCTGAATCCCTTGCATTATTTCTCGAGGCATTTATTTCTTTGAGAATTTTGTCTACCTATGAAAACACAGCAGATCTGATTATAATCACTAGGGTACACAGACAAGGTGACTTCGACTGTATTTGTTTCATTGCTTTTAGAATCATTAATGTCTTAGCTTCATGGACATGTCACTTTCCAGTGACTGCGAAGATCAGGGCTCAGTGGACAGTGGTAGAGAGCCATGAGGAATGAGTGCTTAGCTATCGGACCCAGCTGTTTCCTCCAAGCAGAAAGGCAACTTTTAGGAGTTAGGGATTTCAGAGAGGAAGTCTGGCACTTAGCAGGGATCCTGGTTGGTGGCTTTGGCTGTTGCCTGTTTTGGGGTCTGCCAAAAGCATCTTAGCTACACAGTGTGTTAATCTGTGAAAATTAAACAATATTTTCTTCTAGAGCTCTTGTTCAGAGCCCCGAGGTATGGAATGTTAGGATATGACCTTGAACTTCAAGTCATGCTTTACATCCAGAACAGTAGAAAGAGCATGGACAGTTGACAAGGAAGGTCTGCTGCTTGCTCATGGGATTTTAAGCAAGTCCCTTGACCTGTTGTGACCTGTTCTATCCACATCTATAAGTCAAAGATAGTAATCCTGGGCCGGGGATTTAGCTCAGCGGTTCGGTGGCCTGCCTCGCAAGTACAAGGACCCGAGTTCGATCCCTGGTACCAAAAAAAATAGTAATACCTGGCTTCCCTCCTGGTTTTGTAAAGGCATTTCTTTTGTTTTGAGTGATGCTCTGTGGCGTTGTCGTCTTATAATATATGTCTGACTTTTGTGATTCCCAGAGCAGCCGTGATAGTAAGCCTTACACCTCCACTCATTTGTGATTGGGAGGGCTGGGACTTAACTAGCTTTTTTAGGGATGCCTTGCCATAGAATTTTTAAACAATTGGCAAATGGGTGTCATTTAGAATGTCACCTATTGATAAGCATTGGCAAGGAATTAATTTTAAAGAGACATATACTGGGGTATGATCATGTTTTCCAGGTGTCATGAACCCTAGGCATACTCCTTTATGTTTGAGGCCTTTAAATGAGTTTTAGAACATGTAAAGCAGATGACCCCGGGCTGGGGATATGGCTCAGTGGTATAGCACGTACTTAGCACGTGCAAGGCCCTGGGTTCAATTCCCTAGCCCCAAAACAAACAAAATAAAAAAGGCAGATGGCCTTGGAAAGTTTGATTTCCCAAAGCCTTTCCCAGGATTTAAAAAAATCAAAACAAACTTGACAACATGATTATCTTTTTGGATAACAAATGTAAAACCTGTCACCTTCATAATGTAATACATGCAGTTTCCCACAGTCACAAACACTAATTACAAATGTTTTCACAAACCATCTAAATGTAGCCAGCTTGGTGAAAAGCCAACATTAGTCATATAGTTCATATAGTTAGTTTTTCAAGCTAACTCTAAAACTTCTAGTTTTGTGGGAAGAAGTGATGAGGAGGACAGTATTTATAAGCCATCCAGTGAGATTTGAACCTTTCAGTGCAGCTGAAAACATGCTAGGCCTGCTGCAATAGCTCCCTGATTAAGGTTCTTTGAAAAAACACGCAGATCTCCTGTTTTCCTGTGACACACAGCTGTGAGCTGTCTGATAAGGGGCCACGGGGAAGCTATACAGGCCCAACTGGTGAAGGCACTTTCGAGTAACCTCTGACTCTGTGCTCTGCTCTGTCCCCGGCAGTGTGTGCCTCCCGAGGAAGCCTGTACCTCACTGGACGCTGCCATGATCTGGGCCATGATGCAGAACAAGAAGACATTTACCAAGCCACTGGCCGTGATCCACCAAGCAGAACCTAAAGGTGCGCTTTGGGAGGCTTAGTCAGGGGATACGAGCCTCAGGGCTGCTCTGAAGAAGAGCCAGTACTATAAATCAAAGTCCAGTTTTATTCAAAAGACCTGTTAGTAACCTTAGAAAAAGATTCTTTGTTCATTTTAGCTAGTTCTCCTACTGCCATTGTGATTGACTTGTGATACCTTTGCCAATTATTTCTTTAGAAAATTAGACTAGGGTCAGAGTTGTTTCTTATATTTACGTATGCTTCCGTGAGTGTGCAAGAAATGGTTAGAGCTGCCCCTGTTGTACTGACACTTGCACACAGTCCATGGCCCATCTTTCTGTGATCTGCTGATGGCAGTGCTGGCTATAAAGTGTTGCAGCAAGATGCTGATTGAGAACCACTGCCCAAATGCATTTCTTGATTGTTTTCAGAATTTTATACAATTGTGTTTGTTACTTGAAGCCAAGGGGCCTCTTCCTACATGTGCAGGAACTTTCAACAAGTTGTACCTTCTAGGACAAAAGGAAAGAGGTGCCCTGAGAAATGTGGCTTCAGAACCTGGGAGGACAGGCAGGGAAGACCCAGACCTAGTGTAGGGGAGGCAAGCTGATGCTGCAGCACAGCAGCCCTAAAGGATGTCAGGAGCAGCGATGAGGCCCTGTGGAATGTGAGGAACGCATCTGAGGGGGACCACATCATGGCTGCAGGGAGCACAAAACAGCAAGGACACATCAGGTAGCTGTCAACATCTGCCGTTTGGTTTCACCAGATATCCTATGGGTTAGCTGGGAAGTTAGAGAAATAACCTGTCCCGCTCCAGAAGCACTGCTGTTTAAGGGTGTCAAACTAAGAGAAGACTGGGAGCCTGAAGATTCTATGCTGCCAAGGTGAGATATTCCAGGCTAGGAGCTGCAGGCCACATCCCATCCCCCAGACCCAGAGCAGAGGAGGCAGTGAGCAGCCTGGTTCCAGCTGCTTAGCATTAGCAGCAGACCTGCTGACTGGTGGTGACACCAGATCTAGGGTCCCTTGTGATCTAAGCATTTCTGGATTAGGGTGTGGCAGGAGTGGAAGGGACATGGCTCTGGAACAAATGGGTCCTGCTAGAACAGAAGTGTGTGGGTCCTGGTGGTTTCTTGTTTGGCTGAGTGAGCTTTGTGAGGGTAGCTGTGCTGTTGCAGTTGTCATAGCTGGCTGTAGAAGCTTCCCCCAATAGAGGTAGGTAGGTGAGCATAGGGGTAGGACCCAGAGCCTACAACTCTGCTCTTGCTTGGCTTTTCCACCGACTGACTGAGAGACTGCAGAGAACTCATCTCACCTTTTTGGGTTTCACTTTTATTACTTGGAAAGGAGGAATTTGGCCCAGATAACTTTCAGAGCCCTCCCAGCTACAACACTTAGCGGTGCCATTGGAAGAAGCAAAATAATGTTTAATTCATTTCCCAGCCATCCTAAAATTGTTATGAGAGGGCATAGTAGATGTTTAGTATTTCGTCAGCAATGTTTTTTTGTTCTTTGTTTTACTTTTATCGATTGGTTTCAACCATTTGAAAGTTGTTACAGTCTTTCTTTAAATGAGCTGCCCAAATACTAATTCCTTTTTCTTGGGTTCAGGAGAAAAAAATAAGAATCATTCGTGTTGAAAAAAAAATCAATTGGGCAACAGCTGGCTCTGTTTTATTCTATGGAAGCAGTTTAACAATAGCAGCAGCTACCTTGCATTCCATCTGTTACTCTTACCTCTTAAGAGAGGTAATTCTGCCGTAATTGAAGGCAGCAGCTCGCTTTTTCCTGTGCCAAACAACAATTACTCATTAACACTGCAGGAGTATAATTTCCAGCAATTCATTCATTCTTTTAATTCTCGAGGTATTTTTCTTAGTAATTTCTCTTGTAAACTAGGTAATTGCTTTTACTCGAACTTTTGTGTAATCATACTAAAAGTTCTGTGTTTTCTTTATATAAAAGTTCAAGAGGAAAGTTTTACCAAGTATCAAAGCAATTTCATGAGATTTGCTGAGGCTAGATTTTAGTGGAGAAGCATGTGGGTGAAGAAAGTTTATTGCTTAGGTTTGTTAAACAAATTGAGAAAGTTACACTTTAGGTTAGCTTCCAAAAAGCGGTATGCAAATTAACTGTCTTAACCTTGCCCTGAATGGATAGTTTGCTGGCAGTTTTCAGCTTTGTGATGACTCCCCTTACCTTTTATGTTTATATTCCTTGACTCTAAAATCATTTGTCCTCAGTGCAGAACACTGAAGTCTGCACTTTCTCTTCACAGCGAATTGGAATAGTCATTTGAATAGGGAAGGTGACCATTTGCCTAATAGCATTGACTTATTTGAATAATAAGTGGGTCATGAGTATTCTTCCGGGAAGAGGCAGATCACCTATTGAGATTGTTTTGCGGGGTAAAATTTCCCCAATCCCCAGGAGAAGCTTCACCATCCTGTACTACGTTGGTGCCCTCTGAGGGCCATGCCAAAGTTCCAGCTCTTCCTGCCCATTTGATTCATCTTATTTTTAAACTGGTGGGTTTTCTGGGGTATCAGATAAAGGCAGAGAAAGTGGTGACCACCACTGCCAGTAACAACATGGATATCCTTCAGGTGGTGTTGTCTTCCTCTGGGGACAGGGAGAGTAGGCCATAAATAGTACATAAATATTTTTGGGTTCCTCTTCCAGGGCACTATTTGTAGTGGAGCACATCTTTGCCACCTTTGATCTCTAGGTCCTTTGGGAACCAGTGTTCTTTTCCTAAATTTTCAACAGTAAATGAAGGTGCTGGTGGTGGTGATAACCCTACATTTATTAATTATTTACTTGGTACAGGGCTTTGTGCTAAACGCTTTATGTAGATCATTGTGTTTAATCTTCATGGCACCTCTGTATAAAAAGAGGTTAAATAATCTGCCCACAGTCGTGCAACTTATAAATGGCAGTCAGGGATTCAAACCTAGGTCTTTGATCCTACAGCCTGTATTCTTGAACCCTATGCCTGATCCCAAATGGAAGTCAATTCTATTTTAATAAAAGCTACCAGGAACATAAGCATCTGTCTCTTCATACTTCCCTTCCCTCTCTTCATCCCTTGTCACATTGGTATTCAAGATACCAGCCAAATACTGGGTGAGAAAGGAAGGAAGAATTTTGAGAGGAAGATGAAGTTTTGTAGAAGTTTGTTCTGCTAAAAGGTTAAGCTGTTAGGAAATGTGTAAACTGTTTAAAAGTGTACTAAAGTTCAGAAGAAGTTCTGTGACTTTTGGATTATAACTCACACACATGCGCACACACACAAAACCCAAAACCTGAATAGTTTATGCATTCTATGGTTTATGGCAAAACAATTAAAATACTTGGGGTGGTGCCGTCCTACCATACTTTGTGAAATTTTTTAAAGTACAGTCATGCTAGTACTGTTTGCTTTGGATGCTGCGACCACTCTTTACAGCATTTGAGAACATTTGGGCTTACACAAATAAATATGGTTACACTATGTCAGTGATGATTTTTAAAAATGTTAAGAGGGAGGATAGTCTTTGAAACAAGGTGCATGTACACAAAGAAGTGTGGACATAAAAGAAGTGTGGACAATAAATGTTTTCCCCAAATTTGCTCTGATTCATATGCAATATTTGATTCTTGTCAAGTGAAATGCTTTTGAAATACTGAATTTTCTCCAGATTTCCACTATATAACATTAACATATAAAAGCACCTGCATATCATGAGCATGAATAAATGTTGATTTCCTTCCCTCTCAACCTCTCAGCCAAACTAGCAAGGTTTTTTTTGGAGGGGTTGGGTAAGATGGAAGAAGAAGTTGTGAGTGGCAAATAGAAATGAATCCAAGAGAGGCATTACTTTTTGGAACACACATTTGATTTTTCCAGAACAAAATACTGTAAAGGACCAGCCAACATTTGTCCTCAAGGTGGAGATGAAGGGAAACAGTGGAAAGATAGCAGAAATGTCTCACTGACAGAGTAAGACATTCAGTCTCTCTCCACTTGGGAGGGTATTATAGGGATTCTTATGATTTTATGTGCTTCATATTTTAAAAACTTCTATTTAGGAAAATTGCAAATACATACAAAAATAGAATGAACTATCATGAGCCTACCAGCTGGGTTTAGCAGCTATCTGTTTATGGCAAATCTTGTTTTATCACTTCCTATTGCCCACCAAATTATCTGAAAGGAAACCCAAACAGTTAATTTCATCCATTAATGTGCCAGTATGCATCTCTAAAGGTTACGAACCATCAAGAGATCTCAGGCAGGGAACCAATGATTAGATCATTTAAGAAGGTGGTTCTGAAAGCAATGTGAAGATTGGGTTGCTGGAGGAAGTGCACAGTAATGGGGTATATATATTATTTTTGATTACTTAGTCCACAACGTTTGCTGTGTCCTTACTATATGTTAGGGATATAATTGACAGATTATCCTGTCTTTCAGCCTTTCCAGCCTAATAGAGTGTTTCTCAGTCGGAACAGTATCAGCGTTTTGGGTTAGGTATCTCTTTATTGGGGCGGGCTGTCCTATGCATTATAGAATGTTTATAGTACCCATTAGCTGCCAGTTCAGCTCCTCTAGTTGTGATAGCCCATTGTTTCTAGACATTTCCACATTTCCAAAGTCACCCCCAGGTGAGAGCCACTATCTAGTGGCATGATACAGACCAGTGAACAGGCTTTTGCAAGGCTGACATAAATATTGAAAGAACCCAGAGAAAGAGTTCGGAAACTGTGAAGATTAGTAAAAATGTACCTTAAGTGGGGCCTACACAAAGTCGCCGGAGTCTTCAAAAGCCTTTCTCTCCCTGTCCTCCCCTTCGCCAAATGTCAGTAGATGTGGTACCAGTTTGACGCCTTGTTTCCCTTTAGGCTTGCTCAGGCCTGTGGTGTTTAGAACTGAACTGAAAACTGTAGGCCAAAAGCTGTGGTTGGTTACTCATGCATAACCCCAGGAATATACCATTTATGAAAACCATGCCTAACGATCTGAAGAAGGAAATTTTGGTTGTAGAGGTAGACCAAAATTTGCTTGGAGTTTACGAAAAGACTTAATTCAGAATGTTGATTATACCTTATTCTTTCTACAGAGAAGTCTATTAAAATTCTCTTTGCAGCAATATCTAGGATCCCTTTCTTACAATCATATCCTTTAACCCAAAGTAAATATTGTTACATCCACTCTTTTCCTTTCAGCATGCCAACTCAATTATAGGGTTCTGGTGGAGATGAAACCATTTTTGTTAGACTCAGGGGTTAGGGGATTTAGGGATAAAATATTAGAAGATAATATCTTTTAACTTCAGATTTGGAGTCTGTGCTTGTTACTGTTTATGCACAATCATGAAGGAACTTCACCCAGGAGAAACAACTGCTCCGTTTAGCTCTCTGAGGAGGCCCCTATCTGGGGTGGGGAGAGAAGATTAGATCACAAGTCCATTAAGAATTTTAAAACAGTGCCATCCATCACACAGCCCTTGCTATAAAACCTAAATTCTCACATATAAAGTCTCCTTAGGGAAGAATCATCATTTTTAAACCACTTGGGGATTCTGAGTGACAAAGTTTAACCACAGGCGGTCGATTGGATGGAACTCTTCCCAGAAGTGTGTATACTTCTCGCATGATGCACACTACTGAGACCTTTAAATGCCTTTGGACTTAGTTCAGTCAATCCAACTACTATGTCTTGAAAGTGGGTGAATTTTGTGGTTGGAGACCCCCCTACTGCATAGGGCTTGAGGAGTTTGCAATGAGAATATTAAGTGAAGGGTTTTTGTCAATTGGTAAAACACTATACAAGTGTGAAAATGTGAGGTATCACCATGGTTATTGCTCCCAATAAGGCTGATGGGACCAAACTCCCAGGAGAATTTTATTTTGTGGTTAGTGTAGGGAGTATGTGTTTCACAAACAATCCTCTCTCCTTTCACCCTGTTGAACTTCTTTATTTTTTTATAAACATCAGCATGCTGCTGCTTTTGGTCAAATTTTCACAAGTTCTTTTTGCTACACCATAGATTTCAGCATAAGCTGTGTGTTCCTTCTTTAGGAAGTGCAAGTGGAGATGTTAAAAAGGGGCACTAAACACATACTACTTTTAAACTCTAAAAAGAAGGGTGTTCTTTGTAGAAAGAGCTGAACATAATTGGCAGCACATAATAGTTCCTCTCTCAACTGCTCAGTTTTGCTGTTTTAGAATGAAAGCCATAGGCAAAACGTTCATTGTAGCTGCGACCATGTTGAACTTCATTTTGCATTGAATTTGAATTTCATACAAACATTCATGTATGTTAAGAAATAGTCTTCCCAGGCCAGGCCTGGCGGCACATACCTGTAATCCTAGCCCTCACTCAGGAGGCTGAGCAGGTGGATTGCCATGAGTTAGATGCTAGCCAGGGTTATCTAGTGAGTTTAAAGCCATCTTGAATTAGAGAGTAAGATCCTGTCTGTCTTTAAAAAAAAAAAGTCTTCTTTTGATTTTTAAGAAATTATTTCAAAATGTAAAATCTATTCTTATCTTGTGGGCCATATTGTCCTGGTCCCTGGTCTGTGCCTTGTTCACTGCTAAGGATAGTAATAATTGTGCACAAGCAGTAACTTAGTCGGTGCTCCCAGGCTAAGGACAGAATGACACTCTCAGTCACTAAGCCGGTGAGGCAGGAGTCTGGAATTCTGGTTCATTCCCTGCCCTGATGTTTTCCAGCTGTGACCTTGGGCTAGTCATAGGATATCGGAGTCTCAGGCTGCTCATTTGTAAAATAATGATAAAAATTCTTTCTGTGTCTCCCTCACAACACTGGGGTGGACCCCAAATGAAATCTTGGTGAGTAACTTTTTATGAACATGAAGCATTCTAGAAATACTGAGGTATACAAGCATTTTAATAGTCTTGTTTCCTCCTATCACAAAAACACATAAATGAGTAAGAACTAGACCTTTCCAAGCCAATACCGCAAATTAGTATATAATAATGACACCAGTGTAACAGAAGAGGGGTGAAATGAAGTGGGTCGGGGAGACCAGCCCTGCTGGGAGTGGCTGGAGCTGGGAGGGCTCCCAGCAAACATGCCAACAAAGCAGGCCTAGGGGAAGAAGGTGATGATGTGGAGCATGATGGGCATCTTGGGGAGCTTAAGTTTGAGGAGGCCAGCGTGGGTAAAGCGCCCCTCGGGAAAGCAGGCAGGGAATTCTTTGTATCTGATGCTGAACAGTTTGGATTTTCCCAGGAGTCATGAAGGAGCTGAACTGGAGCAATACAAGATCATCTCTGGACTATAGAAAATTCACTGTAGGATGTGAAGAAGGAAGTGTTTGGAGAGGGGCTGGTAGTAGTGAATACCTTTAGTAATGAAGATGAGTAATGAAACAGCTGAGCTATAGGACAGTAGCATTCAAAGGACAGAAGAATAAAGATACAAAATGTGTAAATTCTCAGCAGAATATTTTAAAAGTAGAATAGAACTGGATAAAGAAGATGTGGTTTTTCTATAAAATGGACTATTACTCAGCCATGAAGCATGAGAAATTAGAGTCATTCTTAGGAAAATGGATACATATTGAGGATATACTCTTTAAGTGAAATAAATAAGTTACACATGTGTAAATACTGAATAGTTTTTCTGGTGTGAATAAACTATAACTACATAAATAAGATCCTAATGATATAATTGACAACGTCAAATAGGAAGAAAGGGGCTAAAGGTGTAGGGAAAGTGAGAAGGGTAGGGGAAAGTTAATAAGGGAAAAGAGAAAATATGAGAAAATGAAAAAATGGACATAAAGTGTTTGTAAATGGGGAGGGGAGGAGGAGGTGAAGGGAGGGCAGTGATAGGGGAAAAAAATGAGAACCAAGCCCTGTCATGTAAAGGTACAAGATCCCAATAATGAATGTGACTGTACTGTATACCTAAAATGTACCAATAAACTCAATGAGGGGAAAAAAAAGTAGAATAGTATTGTGACTACATCAGAGAAGCATGACATTAAAGGCATCAGGTCCCTTTGTAATTAATATAGAGATACACACATACGCAGACTCAAATTCCCCAAGTTCAGATGCTTACTTTCAAACTCCCTTCAAATTGGAAAGCCTCTAGAATCAATCGTTAACAAAGTACAGTGCCTAAAGTTTCTGGGTAACTCATGTTACAGTTTTGACTTCTAAAGAGGATTATTGACTGTGCCTTCACAAATGTATTAACAAACTCTGATATGTATTTATTAACAAATATAAAATGGCAACTTCTGAAATTTTAATGACCCTTTGCTTAAATCTTGGTTTCCTCATGGAACACATTATGATTTATGCTTTTGTTTCAGAAAAAGTTCCAAGCATTAAGGAATCAAATCCAGTTCCTCCACGTAAGTCTTTATGCAACGCTTTCAAAATAAAGCCTCCTGGGCTTTTATAAGAATGAGTTGGTTACTGAACATTTGGCAGACTTTTGAGTTTTGATAAGGAGACTTCTGCTCTCATTCTCTTTCCCTCTATTTTTTTTTCAGTTTTCTTTTTTCCTTTCCTCTGTCCTTTCTTCATACCTCCTCTTTCTTTTTTCATTTCCATATTTGACATTTTAAAAATCAATATTTGTTAACTCACTGGCATATGTGGCACATGTGGCACATGTGGCACAAATGGAAACATGGTAAACTGTTAAGAGAGATTAGTTTGTTATTCACGTGCTTATATCTATTGTGATCCAAAAGCATTAACGTGCAGTTGTGCCTGTGGCTTACTTTAAGTGGTGGCACCAGTACTTACCTGCTCAGGGAAGTAGTTTGAAGGGAAGTAGCTGCACTTTATTCAAGACTATCTCTAGTCCAAGGGGTCTATTGTTTGTTTTTCTGGTTTTTGTTTTTTTTCAGAGATGGCCTTCAAAAAAATAAAAATAAAATAATAATAATAATACACAATACCAGTTACTACAGAAAGAGTTGAAAATTCTGTTCACAATTTCATCATTTTGTACAGAACAAACTGTTAAAAAATATTTTAGTGAGTTTGCCCTTGGTTATCATTGGCACAAGTCAGGATTCCACCCTGGCTTTCTGGCTGCCCACCCAGAGTTCTTCTAAATAAGTTGACCTTGTTAGAAGAATCTGTGCTTCTTCTCTTCCTTCTCTGAGATTCCCAAGATAAGTCTACGGGAATGACCCCGTCACATACACGTAGCAGTCAGTCTGGAGAGTGCCTTTGTATCAAGCCGTTTAAACACCATTCCCTCAAGTAGATTGTTTTAATAAGATAATGGAACAGTATCATGATCTCAGAGAGACCCATGTGATACACATTCTCCCATACCTTATCTGATTTTCGTAAGTGACATTTCTGTTTTTGGAATTTTAAAATTTTTTCACTCAAAAATTGTAATCATATTCTGTCTTTTCATCTGTAGGCATGAAAAGTCAAGTTGTCTTTTAATATCTGTCTTAATGACTGGGTTAAATGCTTGTATCCCTACCCAGTTCTTATTCCTTAGGGGATCCTCATCCATTTTACAATCTTATTTTATATACTTTATGCCTCCAGTAGATAAAGCAATCCTTGTTTTTCAGAACTTGAATGAACACAATAAAGGGCACAGGGGTTGAAGAGTGGTGACCAGAAATGGGAGTTTGGATCATTCCTTTCTCCACTATGATATACCTTCCCCCAGCCTTCTGGAGTGCTGGGGCTGCTCAAGGGTCATGTTTGTCTACAGCTGAACTTTTTAGATTGATGTGAACTGAAAAGCAAAAATATTTGATTTATAGAGAGATCATCTGGAGTTGATTCTGATGAGTGGAATGTACAGATAGTACTTAAATAGTGGGGAGATCTTATACCTTCAGTTTGTATTTAAAAAAAGAGAACTTGAATTTTTATTCCACCAAAACTCTGTCTCCTTTAGAAACTGATTACAACTTTTTATTAGTGACTCAAAGATAGTTCTCTTAAATGAAAGGAAATACCCTATTTCTGTGGTCTAGAATTAATTTCACATATAAAAATATTTGCCAGATGGTTGAATAATTGATCCTATATATGTTTTGCTGACCATGAGACTGATGTCACTGTCCACTGAGAAGTAATTTCTGTTCCACACAGAAAGATCATAGTTAAGAAAGTGTTAAAAAGCTTTTGCTGCATAGTTGTCAAGATTGAGGGTTTCATCAGTAAAATGTTATAATGCATAGGAATAGTTTATTCTTACTCTTATATTTTCACCCCCTTTGTTAAGAAAAATCGTGTATTTATTGTATATATTTTCTGTGCCATATTTTTCATTGTTGGAAGCATTCAATGAAAAAGCAATCAAATTTGGGCAATGGAAATTCGCTGTGTCTTAAACATCGAACCTGTGGATTTTCAGGGTACCCTCCATTCAAATAGTAGGGCCTCAGATTGGAACACAGATACCACAGGTTTAAGGTTTTACAGAATTTGCAAATCTGATTTGTAAAATTAGTTTGTTGTTCAAAATAAGTTGCAAAATGAGAATATTTGGAAACCTGATCATTTTTCCTTTGCCCAAAAATTTGCAAGTAACAAAATGCAGTGCATTTTATTGGAACTCTTATTATAGTTTCAATTTTTATTAGCCAGTGCTCAGCTTTTATGACAGGGCTTGTAAAATAAATATAAAATTGCTATGTATGATGCAGACTAACTTAGGATATACATATTCGTTTCCCTCTTTTATAGCAATTTTCCATGGTCTGGACACCCTGACTGTGATGGGCATTGCGTTCGCAGCATTTGTGATCGGAGCACTCTTGACAGGAGCCTTGTGGTACATCTATTCCCACACAGGTTAGTAGGACAGTTCACTATTGCTCGGTGCATGTCCTGTGTGCTTGCCATACAGTAGACAGACACTCGGTGTTTTGTTGGATAAATGAGTGACAGAGAGAAAAAAGTTCATTCCCACTATTTTCACATGTATGTGTTTGGCATAAACTACATTTTATAAAAATGCAATTTGCTTTAAGTCCTGGTAGAAGAGAAGCAAAAACTATGTCCATTGTAGTGCTGATTGTGGTAACATTTGGCTTCTAAAGAAGCTATTTTGTCATTGAAGTGTAAAAAAAATTAATGTTGATAAATTGGAAATATAATCCATTTATTCAAAGCTAAAGATCACAGAATAGATGTAGAAATGTGTAGGAAGTGAAAAACAAAGCCCAGAGAATAGTACCACATCTGCACAGAGTTGAGCCCTGTCCATCAGAGTTCCTAATCAGTGACTTAAACCAGAATTTCTCAACCCTTTAATAAACTTAAAACTCTAATGTCTTTCTACATAGCTATTTAAAATTTCAAAACATATTTTCATGAATTGAAGAAATGCAACAAAGCATTTTTAAAGCTGTATTCCCCCAAGCCCTAAAATTGTGATGTGCCCTGACACCCACCCTCCCTCCCCAATCCCAGAAAATCCCCAACATTGAAACACACAGGCCAGAACTGAGAGCCTGTTCTGACACAGGATAGAATACAGGACCAGTGCGGGTGGGGATGGTTTGGTGGGAAAGGAACCTGTGGATTGCCTTCTGTTGGTTTCTTCTGAATTTCTCTGGGAAAGAAGAGCATGCAATTTAAGTCAGTCTAGAAAACTAGCCACCTCTGTTTGTTCATGGATAGTTGCAGTGTACCATGCAAACCTGGGCAAACTCTGGTACATTGCTCAGTGAGAGGTAAGGTAGGGGCAGGTCTAGCCTGTGTTTAGAACTTCATTCATTCTTCATTGAACCAATGAATGCTACGATCTTTTGCTTCACCTTGAGCCATTCAACTAGCCCACCTGCAAGGATGACCAATTTAAAGACAAGAGAGCCACTGAGAGACATCTTGGGGCATGTTATCTTAATTCTCTTGATTGCTAGACGAAACCTCAAATTGTTGAGAGACGAAAAAAAAAAAAATTCATGACCCAGACATCCTCTATTAGTTAAAAATCTCAGGCTCTTTTTCACGAATTTTTACTTCAGATACTATATAAAGTATCTATGACAGAAAAAGAGGAGCAAACTCTTGTGTCTGGCATAGGAAATTCATCCGATTCAAAGCTAACATCTTGGCAAAAGTTTAGCAGAGTTTAATAGTGGAGCTTCAAGTCCTCGGATTGTTGTTCCTATTAGGCAACCTTTGAAGTATGTTTCATATGAGAGGGAGAAAATAAGACTCTTAAGTGTAATGATTCTCAGTATTATATAAACATCTATGAATCAGTTTAGGAGTATGCTCCCTCATGAGCAAGTTTATAGGACCAGAAGGGACAGCTTTTAGCGGAGTAGAATTTATAATGTAAGTAATTTTAATCTCAGAAATACTGACATATTCAGATCTCAAACTAACAGTTCTTCAAAACTTTTCCCACCTCCTGTGTGGCTGAGAGGTTCTAGAACTACTGGCAGCCTCTGCTGTCTGTTGAGAATGAACTTGATAGTATTCCAAGACTGAGTAGCCCCAAGGATTTTATATGAGGGTAGTCACCCCATAGAAGCTGTCCATGTGTCTGTGCAGCCCCTCACTGGCCTCAGTCACAGCTAATCTTGGGTCTAGGCAGGATGTAGGGCAGCCAAATAGCACCCACTGTGGGATCACACTCTACTGAACCCCCACCCCTTAAGACCCTAGACTCTTGTCTACAGCCAAGCACACAAACCTGATAAAAAGCAAAGCTTGGTTTATAGCCTGTATTGCTGCTTGCTGAGTTTAGAGAGTTGTTATAGACCCTGCTGTCCTTCACTGAGGCTTCAGAAGGAGTTTTAGTATTGTTAAGACAGAAATAAGTTTGTAAATAGATAAAAGAAAAGCCAAACCCCATCCAATGATGCTTTCTAACAAAATATGTGAGTTCAGAAATAAAAGGTTTATAGATGCAATCATTTGGGTTTAAAATCTGCTGGTATCACTTACAGCTTCAAAAATTATTTTTTAATAGCCGGGCATGGTGGCGCATGCCTGTAATCCCGGTACTCAGGTGGCTGAGGCTGGAGGATCGCTATGAGTTCGAGACCAGCCTGGACTACATAGTAAGTTCCAGGTCAGTCTCAACTACTTAGTGAGACCCTGTCTCAAAGAAAAATTATTTTTTTTCAAAGCTGTAGGCTCTGGTTCATTTTACAGACTGCTCATCAGGAGTACCAGGGTCATACAGGAATGCAAAAGGCTTATTTCAGAACCAAATGATAGTTTCTTTCCAGAACCCCTCCCCCATGGTTTTTCACCTGGGTCAGCCTGTCAGAATTTTAGCTCAGTAGAGAAGGTCTTAATGCAGTGGCCAGGGGGAGTGATGAGAATGAGAACTCAAAAGCTGGCTCAGTCCATTCAATTTCCACAGTAAGCTGAGTCATAGAACTCAGACCTTACATATTGTATGTGGGGGTCCAGGCAGCATCTGCACATGTGTCATGAGCAGGCCTTCATTTGGATGGCTTTGCTTTCCCTTTGGTCATGTTTTCCACTCTGTCTACAGCACTCAGCACACAACCAGGTTACATATTCAGATTGTGACTATCCACTTACATACCTGGAACTTGTGTTGAAAAAAAAAAAAAAATGGTGGAGACCCAACTTTATAATACAAACTCTGGGGGCAATAAGATACCTCTGTGTGGCAATATTAATTCTGTCAGGAAAACATGTTTCTCCCAAGATGGTGCGGAGAGAAAGTGTGGTTGGAAATAGAATGTTGCTACTTGGAGCCATAGAAACTTTTATGGTGCTGGAGAGCCTTGCTAGTTTAGGGGGTCCCTAACCCATAGTCCCCCATGAAAGTCCCTAAAGCCCAATGCAAAATTGTATCTGTTGTTTTGTTGAGGACAAAAGCTCTTTTTTTTTTTTTTTTTTAGAAAACCTTTTTAGCTTCATCAAAATAGTACATGCACATAGTTCAGAGGTCTGAAATAGTTCTACGAGATTTGTTATGAAAAAACTCAGACCCTGCCTGCGTCCTCTCCTCCTCTTCCTCTCTCTCTAGATAACAATCTTTTTACTCTTAGCTGATTTTTTTGGCTGTTAATCTGTATTTCTAAAAAACATGAAAATATCGTTGCCTCTTGATTTTTCAGTTTAGGACCTTTTCATTGACCCTCTCCTATGGGAAATTAAGGTTTACCTCTCCTTCACCCCTGTACCCTAATCATGCATTCATTCCCTTCTTGTCCTCTTCCCATACCATCCCAGTAGAATTATACTGAAATTTTGATTAATATTCATATTTACTGTTTAATTATATTATGATTACCTAAAGGCTAATCACAATTTAACAGGTAACATCATTATTTCTGTGTCTTTTAATTTTCCCAGGAATTAATAGTCTTTCTCTGCTCTCCTCCCTCCCAGTAGTTAGTTTTCTATGTATTTATCATTAAGTATCTGCTGACTCTACTGGTTGTCTTAATTTCCTCTTAATATATTCAGACACACTGGGTTTTGTTACTGATTGATTCCTTTTCTTTAGTAATCCTTTCCCGGAGTCTTCCCAACCTGCTCCTATCTGAACTAGTCCCATCTAAGTTGGACGCTCTTGTCCTCTGTTTTTTCTTCCATCATTATTCTAGGGGTTCTCTTCACTTTTGAGTTGCAGGGTCCTGTGTCCTGTACCCCATGCCTTCCTTCTTCTTGTTTTAAAACTTAGAAAGGAAATATTTTTTTTATGTCTGGACTGTTTGAAAATATTCCCATGTTACAGAAATACTTTGCAGATAGTCTGGCAAGGTGTAGAATGCCTGACTCTAAATAATTTTCCTTCAGAATATTGAAAGCAGTCCTTCTTGTCTTCTAGCTTGGAGGATTACTGGTGGGAAGCTCAAGGCTAATCCCCTTGATATGTGACCTGTTTTCTTCTTTCTGGAACACATTTTACAGTAATAACTCTTGACTTATGTGTACTTTCATACATCATGCTGCCCTTTCTGTCTAGAAACTCATGTCCTTTAGTGCTGAGATATTTTAGAATTCATTCTTTTTCTCATCCCTATACTCTCTTATTCTAGAAATCATTTTACTTGAAAGTTGAACTTGACTGGTCCTCTGATTTTTCCTTTCTTTTCTATGTTGCATCTCTCTGCTTTCTTTACTTTATGGGAAATTTCTTCATCTTTATCTTTCAGTTATCTGTTGAGATTTTAGTACTGTTTCAAAAATTTTAAATTCCAAAAACATTTTTTTCCAATGAATTTCTTTTCTTACAAAAATGTTCTGTTCTTGTCTCTTAGGTGCAGTATCTTATCTATCTGAGGATTATCCTAAACATAGGATTATTTAAGAATGAGGAGATTCTCTGCTTGTGGGTAGGACTGTGAACTTCCCTAGGGTGTCTGACAGGCCTTTCTGTTGATGAGCTCCTAATGTCATCTCCTTGGAACTTTTCTCTCAGAGTTTTCATACAATAAGTTTTTCTTCGTCCTCCCTGGAAGGTGTAATCCTGGCTGTTTGGAGACCTTTATAATGGGCACTGATTAAAGTAAACTTACATGGCAACAAATTATATTTGGCAAATAGACATCAGAAAGCAAATATTCAGGCTTCCTGGGTAGAGCATAGTATTGGCACCTGGACTGAATGTGAATAATCACATGCAAATTATGTTCCTGAGGAGACAGATTTGTTCACTGCCACTAGCGACAAGGCCATCCTGCTTCAGCTGTTGTCAGGCTGAGCAAAGGAAGCCCAGTGGAGCCCAAAACGGTAGATGTTTACTTAGTGCCCCTTTGTGAGTGTGATTTTCTTCGCCTCTGAGACTGCCTGGTGCTGGTCATTATCGAAATCCTGGGCCTTACCCTCTTCAAGGAGTAAGATTCTGT